TCTCCCTCCCTTTCTCTCTCTAAAAATAATGTTTAACAATATTTTTAAGAGTATACTTATTTTATACTTTTACATAAACTATATGTGAATTTTTAAAACACACACACACACCAGCACAATACAGATCTCAGTATGCAATATGCCCAAATTGTCTCTGGAATTTAACATATTATCTCTGATGTTGATTTGCTATTAATATTCTCATTAAAAATGAGATATATTAATTACAAGGCAGGAAAAGGATCAATGATAGGCCATAGTCTTCTGAAATTAATGGCAATATCTATTATTAAAATTTGTCCAGTGGGCCAAAGACATAGTTCTTCCCTCTAGGAGGCAACTAACGGCATCTCTGCCTCCACGATGTGCATACTGCACCCTCCTAGCTGAGCCTGGTCCTTCATCTTTGGCTTGCCTGCAATTGGCCTTGGAATCCAGCATTTGCTCTGCAGTCACTCCCCTTACCATTTGTTTTTGGCCGTAAGTCTTGGCTTTCAGACTTCAATCCACTTTTCAATTTGTTCATTAAGTCACCCTTGCCTGTGAATGACTGGCACTCCTAGGCACAAGGTTGGTGAGGAAAGATTAATTGAGCCAACAAAACCCATTATAAGAAAATGAAAATGACCCTAAGAGGGTTGTTCTCCAAACCTAGCTATCCTAAAACTACAGGTAGCCTGAAATGATGCACTGACAGATGGCCATCTAGGACAGTTATTTCTCAAAGTGAGTGTTGCAGAGATCAGAATCCCCTGAGGGAATTACTAAACACATAGATTACTAACCCTAGGCCCACAGAATAAAAGAGTCCAAGTGTGGGGCCCAGGAGTCTGTCTCAGAAAAGCACCCTAGATGATGGTTCTGATGTTGACTTCCCTTGGAGATTAGTATGATTGAGAAAACTTGCCCCCAAAAGATATGGGACTGATCTGATCATGGACATAACCTTGTATGGTGAGTATATAGGATTTTTTTTTTGTCAAAGAGGCAAGAACAGTAAGCAGCAAGCAAGCCATGTTCAGAAAAAGTGGTGCAGAATTAAACTTTCCTCTTCTAGGGGGTATACTGTTTATAAATACTGTTCAAATTTAATTTACACTAAAGCAGCTCAAACAGGTAGGGTTGAGTTAAAACAAAAAGTGCTCTGTATTTTTAATTATCCCTCTCCATTCTCACTAGTCCAGCCATATTTATTCTGGGGAATGGGGTGGGTTGAAAATATTCCTGGCATATTCCTGGCTCACAGCCTTAACAGAGATACACAAAAGATGCAAAACCTCTGTGCGTCTTGGGAAAATGAACTAGAAGATTCAAATGGAAACCTTTCTGTTTCAGACCAGTTAAAACCATAAAATATAGCTAACATAGAGCTTAATGGTACAGTGGTAGTTTCAACTTCTGTATTGAGGTAATTTTTTGCATTTGCTTGGGATTAGCCCACAGCTACAGCCATATTGGACAGATGTTTTTAACTCTAAATGCAATGGAGAATTACCTATCATTCCTTTGCTATGCAGATTGAATATTTGCAGGAGCATTCAAATATGCATGTTTATAGTTTGAACTTCTATGTTTATTGTCTTCTACCACCAAATGTATGTCTACAGATGGAAAATTCAGTCTTTGATGATAGGTGGTAAGGAATTACTCAAAAAGATTGTTACACACACAGAAATATATTACACATAATGCTGGGAAGGGCTAGATTACAGAGTTATCAAAATATGTACAGGAGCAATCCTCATCTAGAAGACGTTTCAAGAATTCCAAATGATCACACTCAACAGCTGGGCCTATTTGTTAAGACTTGGTCAATGGAAAATACTGCCACATTTCCCCCTTATGGTTCTCCACCCTCTTTATTGCCGTATTTGCGAAAGCAGAGTAGCATGCTGTCTTATTGCTACTGCTCCTTATTACCCTCAAATGACAGCAATGAAAGCTGGCAAAAAGATTAAGCAATGTGGCAGACCATTTTTATGAGTTTACCTTTAAAGACAACCAAGAGAATTTTAAAGAGGGAAAAGGGCTTTACAATGCTATGTATTTATTTTTGAAAGTCAATGACTTCCTTGCAGTTTAAGGGTGGTAATCAATATTGAATTATTTCCAACAATTACAAAGGTAACATGTTCTCTGGCAAAGAAAATAGTATGTGCAATATACCTCCTACAACAATGAGCAAGCTTTTTGATGTCACTTGATTTTACCATAATTTGAAAAACTTTTCCCCAAAAATGTGCTATATAAAATCTCTCTTACAATCCCAAAGATACGGTTTTGTGTTGAGAATTTTGGGGTAATCCTCAACTGCAAATATGCTTAAAATATCAAGGTGGCTTAAAAAAACTTGTTATATGCAGTTTAGTTTTAGCTTGATCAGGGCTAATGCAATATTTCTGGATAACAGTATGTACATGTGTGTATATACACCCAGAAACATTAAAGGATTACGAATCTGCCAATTATTTTACTTCAAATGCCAAAGTTTTATCTTCGGTCATTTAGAAGTCATTTTTTTTAATCTTGCAGGACCTTGTTATCAAAATCAATTTTCTGGTAATGAGTCAGTTCAACGTAGAGCATAGGAGTATCCAATGAGAAATATTTCCTCTCCAATGGCCTCAGCTTATAGAACTAGGAGAACCGGAACACTGGAAGAGGTGATGAATCTTCTTCATAGAAAAAAAATACAGCATGAAGAAAAATCTATACCTTACTGACAACTACAATACCCCAAAGTAAAGAGACTAGGCCCAATGTGTGCAGGAGACAGAGGACACTTATAGCACAAAATGAGGAACCCTGGCCACGGGCCTGCAGAATCATAACTGATTCTTGAACATTCCTACTAGGTACTACACTATTGATGCATTGCATTGAAACCCACTATTAACTATTTCCAACTTAACACTGTGTGATTATTTTCTCATGAATACTTACCTCTTAATTCTGTAAGAGAATAATAAAAATACGATGATGCAAATTTCCTTTTATAAACTAACTTTACCAGATTAACAAACTGAACAATATATAGTCTTAAATTTCAAGTATCTAAAACTTGTTGCTACTACCCACCGAACTCCCCACCATTTCATTGGGTAATTATGACAAAATAAGTAGGTCAAAAATGCTGTTGAGAAATTTTTTATTTCTATTTATTCATTTATGCAAAAACAGTATCAGCAATATGTAATAGGAACATACTTTTAAGTTCAAAATTAATTTTCCATTTTGAAAGGTTCAGGACTTTGTCTCTTCTGTATACCTTACCCTTTTAAAAATACTTCAGTCCAACAAAACAGCATACAACCAGTTTATTCCCTTACTTAAGGTCATGTAAGTGGCTCTTTAGAAATTAGGTATCATTTACAGTAACCTGGAGATTTAATCACAGAATGATACAGGTAAGAATGTTATAGTATATATAAAAAACAGTACAGAGAATTTTTAAAAGGACAAATTTCAGGTTACTTTCAAATTATGAGGCATAGGAAAGCCCTATTGGGTATCATTAAGACTCCTCTCTTCAGATTCAGAATAAAAATTACTAGGAATTATATGACGACAATGGGCACTGATGATACGGCCAATGGTAACTATATTAGGTTAGGGATAAAAGAGTCTTCCTACGTTTTTGTGTAGGGGCTAATGAAAGAAAGGCCAGGAAGCCATTTTAAACTCATGTTCATGGCAGGTCAAATGATGCTGAGACACGTGTTTCTTAAGAAACGTGTTATTCCCATTGCTACCTTTCCAAGGCTTAGCCTTCAAATTGCTCATACTGCTACTTATAAAGACATCAAAGCAAACCTCCTGGGAAAATGGATATTACAAACTGGAAAAGCAAGACTGTGGGTACAGTAAAAGGGGCTCTGGTGCTCTGGTTGTTTGTCACAATATACAATGTGTAATGAGGAGATTGGTTCATCTAGAATTGGATTAACTGACTCTACTATATTCTTGGGATAGACTTATGAAACAACTTTTACGATTTAGAAATGCCAAAACTACTTTGACTCTCTTGGACATATTTTACTTTAAAAAAGGAAATATAATAGGCTAACAAACAAAAATAAAAATCTATTTGCCTTTTAACAAATAACTAATGTTTTTATAAAAAATTCCTTTGAGATACTCTGATTAACCTGTAAGTGATATAAAAAAAGCTTCAGCATTCTTTATTCCCAGTATTTTGCACAATTTAAGGTATGTCGAGCATTTCAAGAGAAAAAAAAAAAGAATGGTAACTCACTAAGAAGCTTATGTACCTAGTAAAATTTAATTTGTCTTGGATTCTTTAAGAAAATTAGGTCTAGAATTTTAGTTATCTAAATACCATCCCATTCAAATAGATATCTATGTGTGGATTCTAGATAAAAGATGCCAACTAATAAACGTAAGACCCACTGATTGGACTGTTTTAGAATTGGTTTTACTGGGTTTAGATTAGGAAGACTTCAATAAAACTAACTATATATTGAGTGCCACTGATTTTTTAAAAATGCAGTTTTAAAAACTATGCTTTTATGGTAAATTTCTAGCCAAATCATAAATGTAAAGCACAATATTGTAAATACTGTACTATTCACAGGTACTTGCTAGAGAAATAAAATGCTTATATTCTATCAAAACTCTGACCTTTCAAAATAGTAGGTTTCCTAAAACTATTTTTTGAAAATCAGCATTTGCTTTTAAACTGTTAAAATGTCAATTTCAATTTTTAAAAAATCCTTACAGATAAATCTTAAAGTTGTTCCTTTCAGTCTCAATTATTTTTTACTTTCAACTATATAGTCAACACAAAACCAGTTTCTAAATGAACATCTAATGAAAAACAGTTTCAATGTAAAATAAAACTAGGCAATCTACAGCTTATATAGTCTTAATGTGATTTATCAATACTCAATCAAATTTCTATAATAGTGAAAAACTTTCGGTCTCTTCTTAATATTCAAAACCAGCAACTTCCCATGAGACTAGAAAGTTAGAAGAGAGGATCAAACAGATTTAAGCACTGCTCGACTTCTTCTAAAATGATGCACTCTTTTATCCTAGAAGAGACAAAATCAGTCCTTTTTACTTCATTAAAAATTTCCTATTATCACTATGACCTAAAGAGTTGCAAAATACTTAAAATATTTACTTCAGGTTTAAAAAACATGAATGAAAGAAAAGTGCCCCATCTGGGGAAATATTCCTGCACTTTGATAACAAACGTAAAATAACTACTTTTATGCAACAATTTAATTTAAGAAGAAATCTTGGTAAACTCAGAAACCAAGGGCTTAGAATCAGACCATCTGATGAAGATTCTTTAAGATTTGGCAATGATGACCCAAAGACAGCTGATGAAAAATTTAGTTTTTTAAAAAGTTTTGTTTTTACTAACAGAAGTCCATCTGGTACTCTTTAAGTGCTGCTTTCTGTATTTAAACTTTTCTATTTCCTCTAATATTCTTTCAATTTTTTTCTTTCACAAAGTCTTTCAGTTAAAAGCTCCCACTAAAGGTTTGTTCCCTAAGAACAAACACTGTATCATTTGAGCAGCATAAAATGCACTACCAAGTAAAATTTTGATTACAGTCGAATGTCAAAAGTTCAATTAAATGCTCTATACAATCTCAAAATGTATATACCACAGGAAAAAAGAGGCTTTGTGGCTGGCAAATGCACTTTTTGTCCTGTACTATTCCTTTCATACCTTGAAGTAGTCATCTTGAGTAACAACAGAGTTTCTCAGTCTGTTCTCTGGATTAAACAGACAAGACACCACTGTCTGTATGCTTCGGTCCACAGATTTCTGAAACACAAAGTTTTCAGTCATGTAAAGACTACTCCTTTCACTTAGTGTTAATAAGCTTTTCAAATATAAGGTTTAATGAATACATATACTTATTTCTAGAGAATTCTTATGGAATTCATAATTCTTACCACATCTCTTAGAATGTAACTTTTCCACCAAACTGAAGAAATATTTATTTTTTAAAGATTTTATTTGTTTATCTTTAGAGGGGAAGGGAAGGAGAGAGGGAGAGAGATATCAATGTATGGTTGCCTCTCAAGCATCCCCTGCTGGGAACTGGCCTGCAACCCAGGCGTGTGCCCTGACTGAAAATCAAACCTCAGTTGTTTGGTTTGCAGGCCTGCACTCAATCCACTGAGCTACACCAGCCAGAGCTGAAGAAATATTTTAGAACCTTAGCGATAAAGTACTGGTTTAAAAAGCTCAATTGATGTTATTTCAGTGGGGTGGGGGGAAAATATAAACAACTGTAATTAACAATAATTTTTTTAAAAAAGCTCAATTTATTGAAACCCTAAGATATTCACTCAAGGCTCTTTAATTTTTCCTGGTAGATAAGAAACAGTGAACTTCAACATTTCAAGAAAAAATATCCAGAATAAGAACCTGATACTAAAATTATACTTTGAGCTATTTTAACATTTTTCCAAATTTCAAATCACATATCAATCAGGGAATTTTTTCACCCTATAGTTCAGTAGTTTTCAACTTTTTTCCCTACTGAAAAACACCTGGAAAAAGTCCACACACAACAATGAAAATTCCCCACTGTTACCCATATTCCCACTCATTCAATTAGACTTAAGAGAATTAATTCAAAACTGAAAGCAGTGATTAAAGGAAATGTGCTGTAATAATAAAAAAACTACTCTTCACTATTTCAGTTATTACCAGTGACCACCAATCTTGAAATCTACCATATGTAACATTATAGAAAGAATACCATAAAAGTAATTGTATGCTATTATTTAGCTAAATAAGTGTTTAAATTGGTTTAAAAAAAGACACAATTCATACTAATCCCTCTTGCAGATTGGGAGACTTGAGGAAGTCTGCCCATTGAATTCTGCTAAATCAAGTCAATACAATATTTATTAAAGTATGGTTAAACAAAGAAAAAAATGAAAATGGAACACAGGAAAAAGACTGGTGGATCAGAAATTGTATGCATGCACTAAAAGTTTGGGGGTGCCTAAAATTTCATCTGCTTTAACAATTTGCAGTCCATTATTCAAACTCATTTATAGTTTCCACATTTAAATTTGGAGACAATGCTTACTCTTCAAAGGGCCAATATTAAAATGTAAAAATATGAAAATATTAATAAACAAAATTGTATGTTTGCCTTTTGTGGGCCATTTCCAGTTGATGGAGTAGCTTCATGAACTGAGCATTCACTAGTCAACACTTCAGCTCCTGAATCAACTTCACTACAGTGGTAGTTAACAGCTGTATAAACCTACATTTAAAATGGTAAAAGTGTAATTAAAGAGATGTACATTATATACATTTCCAAACAACCTAGTCTTCAAAATGGCAAGCTGATATTAAAAGTTTAAATGTGGGTCATATTGAAGTTCAATTACATTATCACAGAAACTTCATTTTAAACTGTATAGCTGAAATTCAGTAAGAGTCCTTTATTTTAAAATATCTTTTAAGACTCAACACAATCAGAATTAGAAGGGCTCTTAAAACAACGAACTTCAAAATGTTAGTGAGGGTATCTCCCAATGCCTGAGAGTGTTAACTCATGTCCTTCAAATACCCAGTCCTGATGAAGACCAAAAGTAATAAAGACTCAGGTATTTCAGAGATAGCACTCTTGTTTTATTCCTTTTCTTATATAAACATGTTAACTGTATCACAGAAAAATATTACTTTGCTTCTCTTCAACAGATTTTTTTGTAGGTAGAAAACTACAAACAGATTCAACACTAATTCTAAATCCACAGAATCCCATTAGCACAGGTATTAGTACTACCTTTCTCCAGTTGTGTATTCTATTAAGTAACTAACTGAACATCTGCTGTATGAAGAGCAGCCATTGCTTAAGCACACAATAGCAAGCTGAAAAAAAAAATCCAGTTTCTCCCATGGGAGCATACATTTGAATTGACAAGAAATTAGAAAGATGTAACATATAATGTAAAATGACAATTTAAAATGTTTCTAGGCATAATTGATATGGCAAAAGGCCAAGAAATATGTAATAGTTAAAAAATAAAAAATACTTTAAAAACCAGAAAGTATATGTTTGGCTAATTCAACTTACCGGAGGAATAACATAACTCCTTTGTTCCCCAGTGGGCCATTGTGGTGGCATCTTAAAAAACAAACAAAAAAAGCAAGATAGAGAGAGACTTATAAAAAGCAAGGTTACAGCTAAAGCTGGGGGCTAAGGAGTGGAGGTTAAGGGTAGAGGGATTAAGCAAAAAGGAAAAAGGACTCATGGACAACAGTGTGGTAACTGTGGGGTGAGGGAAGGGGTATAAGGGGACTAAATGGTAATGGGGAAAAAGTACAATAAAAATGTTTAGAAAAGGTAGTAGTTATTTCACTGTTCCTACACTTTTCACAAAGATATGAGATAAACAATGTTTCATCATGTTGGCTCCTTGAACTCGTTATAATAAAAGAAACAAAATGAAAGAAACTAGTACTTTATGTTCCTAATACCTGAGGATTTTATTATTACTTTCATATGAAAATAATATCTTTTTCTCAATTTTCTTAAGTTAGCATTCAGGAAAACTCAAAAATAGTAGTTCTTTGAATACATTACCATAGAAATGGTCATGAGACATAGATATGGTCATATCAAATCTGAGCAGGAATTCAGAGAACTACTGTCTTGTACCAGTTAAAACAAACAATCAAATATAATTAGAAGTCAATGCTCTAAGAATTGAGTAATCATTTTATTTTAACCTATTCTCCTAGTAAAATGTATAAAAGTCAGTCTGAGTGTTTCAGCTATTTGACAGCAAGGATGAAGCATTACGAAGGGGACACCAAATATTGTAAGACAGTACAAGAGAAAACTTCCTGTTAAGTACATCCCTGTCATAACATCATTTCCTTATTTCTAATAATACAAAAGACTTAATTCGAGGTTTTTGCTTAAATTTCAGGCATACTCAACTAGTTTAAATGGGAAACTATTAAGGAAATTTATGTAAATAAAGGCCTCAATAATATCCCAAAGTAAATCACTTTGTTCCCTCTTAAATTACCTGATAATTGTACACAGGCAGCTGATAGCCGGTGATGACCTGAACTGGTGAACTTGGATAAGGAGGATATGCCTGAAAATAGTGTTTCAGAAAGAAGATATTAGCAAAGTATATGTTTAAAAATTGGAAAGCAGAAATATTTTTCCCAAAAGAACAAAACTATAAAAACTAAGAAGTCTTAATTGTTTTTCTATATACAAGATCCTATTTGAGTGACTGGCTTCATTAAAAAAAAAAGTGTTCTCTAGGACTAAGGAATAAATAAGGGAAATGACTGATTTTTGTAGCTTATATTTCTCTTATATGTGTGTGTATCTCTAATCAGAAGTTCTTTCTTACACTGATGACAAGGCTTATTAGGATAGTTTTCCATGTTAAAGTTGTATTTATACAACTGCTATTTCTTGTAAAAATACTTTTGGGAAGTTTTGTATTTTTTTGACATTATCATGGGGTAACGTGTAGTCAATGTAGAGTCTTCCTACAGACTTTATGGCTCTTTCCGTATTTTACTTCTAAACATTAAGTGCAATATATAACCCAAAACTGGAAAAGAGACAGTAAAATATAGTACATCTTTCAGGAAGTATTACTGATGAAAAACTTCTAGGTAGTAGAATACCTGAATATACCCAGAATAGGTAATAACTCATAATAAATCTTAGGAATAAGTTGTTTATCTTCTAGCCATGTGTAGAGCAAGAAAAATAAGAACTATACCCTATACTTTAGGAAGATGGAAAATATAAACGAAAGAGAAACACTATGGCACTATTTCATTATTGTTTTGTTTCTTTTCTCACAAATAAAATGGCTTTTAAATGGAATAAAATAAAATGAAAATAAGTTATTTATCATCAACAGGAGATAAATATTCCACATACCACTTCAAATATTAAAAGTATAATCAGGTTTTACCTTGTATGCCAGACTCAGTTTAAAAATACAGTTAAGTCATAAGAAACCTATCCATTCTAGAACCAGAATATATCTGTAAATTGGCAATCTATATGGGAAGCATCTGGAAATTATTGCAAATGAAGAATTAACTAGACAAATGACTTACCTTAGAGAGAAATAAACCAGGCAGACACATGAGAAAAGCCGCCTTGAAATATTTTATGAGTTATTATAGAAAAGAAAAAAAGAAAAGGTATGTTCTATGTGGCTACGCATAGGTCAGTTTCAAGATAAAGGCTTATGACCATACCGAAGCATATTTTACCTTAGAATAAGGAACACTAAGATTGACAGATTAAAAAAAAAGAGATTTTCTACTAATCAAAGTATTCAAACAGGAACAGTATTATAACTTATGGAAATTATGGATATAATTCCACAGAGGGTAAAAGTGAGACTAGCTTATTTTTTTAAAAATATTTATTTATCTTTAGAGGGGACGGAGAGAGGGAGAGAAACATCAATGTATGGTTGCCTCTCGTGCATCCCCTGCAGGAAACTGGCCTGCAACCCAGGCATGTGCCCTGACTGGGAATTGAACTGTGATCCTCTGGTTCGCAGACCTGCGCTCAATCCACTGAGCTACGAGACTAGCTTATTTTTAAGTGCCCCCACCTATAAGATCTCCATAATAAATAAAACTAATAAATAAAAAATTAAAGAATGTAGATAATTTTTACCTGAACATACTGAGTAATAGGATTCATCATGGTTGGAGGCTGCATGTAAGTTTCAGCATTTGGATTACTCCAGACACTCTGAAACTGTGGTGGAGGAGGAGGATTAAAAACCAAAGGGCGTTGCTGCACATGATAAGTACCTTTTTAAAGAATAAAAAGAAAAATCTTATTTTTAGTTCTCTAAATAGCTACTCATGTGTCAACAAGAAAAAAATCCTTTCTTTACTCACATAAATTTTGTTTCCTGATTGCAGGGCCCAGTTTCAGCTTTTTACCATGGAAATTTATCTGTGACTGAAAATAAAATAGTAACAAAAGTAGAATCAATTTCCAAATCTTTACTTCCAAGACTTTGATAAACAACCCAAATCTAAAATTCCTATTATCCAGGAGATCAGTGGTAAAAAACACAGTATATCAAAATTTATCAAAACCTTACTTACCGTCACTAAGTCAAGTGTCAAAAGATGTTGTGCAATTTGATCAAAAACCTTTACATTCTATCTCTAGTTCATGAAGCTAGATGCCCAATTAAAAACACATTCTCACAGATTATGTAAGATTACTCAAATTGGTATTTCAAAAAGGAAAGGTATCTCTATGTTTTATATAAGACTGGCCCAATAAAAATAAATAGGTTCTCACAAATTATGCAAGATTACTCAAGTTTGTTTTTCAGAAAAGAAGTACATCTATCTCTATATTTTATACAAGACTGAATATATATTCAGGACTCAAACAATACTAAACATTACATCCATAATCTAATTAAGAGATGTTTTCCATAAAATTACTTACTTCTACTATCTTCTGCACATCCACGTCATTATAAAATGAAACAAATCCGTAGCTAGAAAGGCAGATAAATTATGTGTAAAAGCACATTTTACAACTACTAGTATTCTAAGAATTAACAAAAGTCATAACGATAAAGGATGAAGAATATACTAAGTACTTTAAAGATGTACATGATAGATAATCTAGAACTACTACCACTCTTTTTCTTACAATCAAAGTAGGGTGGGAACCTTATTCATTAACAGAAAATCCCCATCTATGATCCTAAATTTAATTTATTATCTATGGCAAGATAGTTAAAATTTAACATACTATGAAATGTGCAAAGAAAACAATTCTTTGAAAAAATTGATTAATCCACATAGATGAAGTAAATGAAGGTAGGAAAAATTTAAATACAAATACTAGGAAAGCAATAAATGAAAGAGCTGGCAGCAAACTTATCTTCTACATGAAAGAAATGAACAAAGTCACAAACTTCACTTATACATGTGTAAGAACACCAGTTTTGAATTCTGCCTCTCTAATCCTCTACAGACTAATTCATATATAATTTATACTTAACATATTTTACTTACCCTTTGGACACACCAGTTCGATCCGTGATTATCTTCACTTCTTTCACTGAACCATATCTAGCAAAGAAACTTCTGATTTCTGTTTCATCCATCTATGGAAAAGAATTTGACTTTAAATACTCAGCATTCAAATATGCCAATTATGCTATAAAAGAGTTGATGATGTGGAACTATTTCCCCCAAGCATCCCCAAACTACCTGTAGCTCTTTGTCAAAGATATTTTTAGTCCCCAAAGGTTAGATACAAAACTAATTCCAAACTTGCACTAAGTACAAAGAAATTTTGTTTGCCAAGAGCCCAAATCTCATTCTTCACAAAATACATTTTTAAATAAATTAAATGAATACAATACCCTAACATCAATTCCACCAACAAAAACGGTGTTTGGCATGATTTTGCCTTCAGGTAAAACATAGCCTTGGCTGGTCGTAGATGAGGAGGATTGGGTGCTGGCCTCTCTGGAGATGGTTGGCTTTGGAGTCTCAGAATTTGCAGCAGACTGTAATTTAGTAAACAGATATTATCACTAGATATACAAGCAAAAACCATATACAATGTGAAATATAATTCTTGCTTTTAAAGTATAAAACATTCTTATACAATTCTGTGGTAGAACACTGATTTTATATTGAGCTTGTGAAAAGACTATGTAAATCAATGGAAAATAATTAGTAAATTCATGTTTGTAAAAAATAAAATCACTCAAGTCATAATGTTCTTTGCCAGTAAGTAAATTTGAATTTTACAAGTAACTTAAAATTATGGTAAATCTTTTAAGTAGACAAAATTCTAAAAGCAGCATCAAAAAGAAAACATATCTAAGTTTTAAACCATTTTTGTCTCATTTTTCTATCCCCCAAAATTAACATGGATTTTATAATATAAAAAAAATCCTTCTGTTAGTAGGCTTGTTTTACTTTGGGAGGTGCATCATGAAAACATTATCTGCTCACATATTGGAGTTCCTGCTAAAAAAGGCTTATCATCCTTTCTCCTAATGCTAGGGTAATTCAAAGCATCTTTTGAAATAACGTTCTTGAATCATACCAAATCAGTCCTGATAATTTCTAATTTTTACAGTGGACTGATAGATATGATACCATCTTTATGTTCAAAAAAAGAGACCCACACATGAAACTCATTATTTTTTGGATTCTGGTCAGGACTCTGTCTTTAGTCTTCCCACACTAAGTTTAATGTAAATTTCTTTGAGACAGAACTTACTGATAATATATGCTGGAAAGGCAATATAGCATAATGAAACAAAAACTGCTTTAGTCATGAGATGCAGGTTCATATCCTTTACTGGGTTATAAGCCACTTACTTTGCAGCTGTTTATTTCTGAGAAAATTGCTTTGAGAATGAAGTGAGATAACATCTGTGAATTCATTTTGAAAAGAGTATGCCAATATAAGTTAGTGTCCCATTATTTGAATTTTCAATAGGTTAAGAAAGTTTATTTCCTGGTCTTACTATTGACTTATTTGCAGACACTTTATTAATTACCAACTGAGTTGGAACTTCAAGAAATTATTTTATGCCATATCTGCTCACTTGCAACTCATTTATAAAGTGCCTACTGAATATGAGCTAAGTACAAAAGGTGGCAAAAGCTATTTTGTAGAATAAAGCTATTATACCTCTGTTTATGAAGGAAAACAAGGACAAAAGAAACCAACTGCTATCTATCTTTTAAAAGGTAAGCACAGTACCTTTTACAGAAATTAGTGAAAAGAACAAAGGAGGTAAAGTTTCTACTCTGTTATATGCTAGAAATTACTGGTAAATTTAAGATTCTACAAACTGCTATACTCATGAGATGAAATAAAAATTGTCAAGTCACCAAGTATATTAAGCATTTTGGCTTTTTTGTGTTAATGTGTTTATAATTGCCATTCTGTGCTTCTATCTGAATACTTTCTAATTCTTTCCTTTAATTGTGGGTGACATTTCATGACCATAAAGTGAGAGTCAAGTATTTCTCAAGTTTTTCCATTAAAAAGCATAAAAACAATTTTTTTATAATTTTAACTTTTTTTTCTAAATGGAACTATATAACAGAAGTTACATATCTTGAACTATTGAGAACTCGACTAGGCTTCCCATACTGTAGACAATTTATCAATCCCTTTCAATTAGCTTAATCAAAATTCCAAAACACAAAATAGTGGTTCTGAAATTACTGTAGAGTTTCTTTTCTCCCTCTCGATTTCCTCATTTTTGGATAAATTTTGGATACCCTTTAATTTAATAACCACAGTATTATCTGTGAGTCAGAAAAGAAGAATTTTTTTTCAACTTACAGATGTTAACATCAGACCATAAAACTGTGCCAGATTATAAGGGGTTATGATAATGTAATGATTATCATCAAGGGGAGGTTTTGCAGGCCAGGGATACAATAAATATCTATAATCAAAGGACAGCCCACCACAACAAAGAATTATCTGGTCCAAAATTTGCATAAGGTCATGGTTGAGAAACGCTTTGATAGTGACCAGAACTGAAGAGGAAAAGTTCTAAGTTTCACATTCTATTTACAAAAGTAAAATGGATACTTGAGAGAACTAAATGGTGATTGGAGGAAAGGAGAAAAAAGCCATTAGCTATTATAGGAAGTTTGGCTTGGAGTTGGGTTGGTCAGATTGGCTGCATGCTTATTTGGGGTATTAAATATAAATCCCATCAAATCATTTTACCAGTGTCATAATGCCTTAAATTAAGGCACCCTCAGGTCCTATTCCTTAGCCAGAAGGTGGCACTAGAAGCTAACAAAGTAAGCGAAGTACTCTAACAAGGCTGAACACCAAGGATTTTAAAATTCCTACTGTGTGTATTTATATATAATTATAATTTATATATGTAACATCCATAACCAATAGAAAATCTTCAGTTACTTTAAACTATAGCCAAAAAGTACTCCACAAGAAAGCAAAAAGTTTGGTGTTGAAGTGTTAACCATCATAAGCACACAAAAAATGTTACATGTAAGTTAAATGTAAGAAGTAATTATTTTTAACTATATTTCAAAGTAGTTGGCCAGTTTCAAAATGAGTAATGCTGAGAAGCTAAATAGGGGTGAACCTGGAGGCCATACACACAATTCTCATCACTGCTATTTACAGTAATATATTCCCTGTTATAGCTGGATAAATCAAATGACAGTAACACCAGAAAAAGAAAACAGTCACTAAAGCTCTTGGGATGTCAACTGTTTGACAGTATTATTTCATTCAACTATGTCTACATGCAAGCAAACTGAGATCTATATACACTGACCCCCCCGACCCTATTGTATTCCTGTTATATCCTTAGAAAAAAGGAGCTAATAAAGAAAATGCAAAAACTAAGCAAAAGGAAATGAAAAATCAAAATAAAATCTTTAAATAAATCCAAGAGTAAACTCTTGCAGAAAAAATCTAAATTTTGGTAAAAGCAGAACAAGAAAAAGGGCAAGAAAGCCAACAGATACATTAGTCATAAAAAAAAGGATGTGAACACGATTATGAAAGAATGCTATTTATGTGCTCCATGGGAATAAGTTTGGGAATCTTGATGAAATGGCTCACTTTCTAGAGAAATGCAAATCTTTGAAAACAATCTTAAGAAAAGGAAGAGAACCTTTGACTCCCAGATCAATTTCACTGGGAGTTTTTTTTTCAAACTGTAAAGAAACAATTTGTGTTTGCGGTGCTGGGCACCAAAACAGAAATAATGATAAGAGAAAGTGGCAGAGAAAATTCAAACATTTTTCTCAAAAAATTTTTTCAGGGGAAAAAAGAATATTTCTCAATTCATTTTACAAAACTAATACCATTCAAATATCAAAATCTGATTAAGATGGCCCACTATTCCTCCAGGAAGGATGTAAAAATCCCAGTAGTGTATTAAAAAAAAATACAATGAAAGTCAGTTTATGTTGGAAATGCAAGGATGGTTCATTTTTGTAAATGAAAGCTATTTTTGTAATTCACTGTTGAAAACATTTGGTAAAAATACGGCATTCATTTTTAAAATTTGAAAATCCCAAGTAGAATAGAAATAAATTAATCTTATTTGCTGTCATTATAATTCTAAGCCATCATCAGGTTTAAACTGAAACATTATAGTCATTTCCATTGAAATTAGGAATAAGGCCCCTTGCTTATCACCACTAAATTTTTTCTATTATATATAACAGTTAATATTAAGAGTTCTTAGAAACCATTTAGAAAAAATAAATATCCAAATAGAAAGATAGCTTAAGAATTTATAAAGAAAAAAATTAAAAGCTAATGACAAACTTCTATTTCGCTAGTAATAAAAAAGTGCATCAACACAGTGAATTATTTTCCTGCTACTACAATGGCAACTTAAATGGAGAATAGATTATATACCATCAGTGATATACTGGTGACCGCTTTAATTTATCAAAAGTAATTTGGAAAGACGTGTAACTTAAAATTGTTATAAAATGGGCACAACACACCCTGTGAGTCTACTCCTAGCAATTTATTTCAAGGAATTAATAGAACAAGCATGTCAAAACATTGGCACAAAAATATTCATCACGGTATTGTTTTAATGTAGAAAAAATTCATTATAAGGCAGTTTGCTAAAATAAGTATTGATACAATCTTATATTCTCACATTATATATCCAAAGTTATTTTAAACTTGCCTTTCAAATAACATCCACTATATTAAGTGAAAAATGGAAGATGTAAAATAGTACTGCATGGTGCAACTTGTAAAATAAAATTTCCCTATTTATATGCTATATATGCACAAAAACAATCTGAAAAGGCACAGATATAGAAAATTAACAGGTTAAGACAGACCTCTACTTTTTTACATTGAATGTTAATTTTATAATTAGAAAAACATCAGTAAGCTATTATTAGCATTGTCCCCCTTTTCCTCTGAAAGTGGAAAAAAATTATTGCAAACATTTATAGCACCTAACAATGATTATTAAATATTAATATGTGTAACTACATGACTAAGTCATTAGATATTACTTACATAGAATTAGTCTAAACACAGAGAATAGTCTAAAAACGGAGAATAATATTATAATAAACACATGATATATGATGCATTTGTCACTTAATGGTTAATCAAAAGTGTTCACAGACTTACTTTGCGGTGGTGGGCAATCGACTCTCTCCATTGACCAAAACTCACATACACCCCGGAAATATCCCCCCACCCCGTACACTTGGTTTAAAGCTCTTTCGTTTACGCACAGAGGAAAACCGTTCCCCCGAGAGCAAATTCCCAAACTTCTCAAACCCACGGTCCCACAGAAGCAAAGGCAACTCACGCTACCCTCGCGCTGCAACGCGGGAGGCTGGCGGATTTGGGGCCTGAAGCCGCCCCGCACCCCAGGGCCGGAAGGAGGGGCCCCCAAAAGCGCTTCGGTCCCGGCCCCTCGCTGAGCTCCCAAGCCCCGCCCTCGGGACACCCCAGTTGGAAGCCCTCCCGGTCCCGAACCTCCCACGAGCCCCACGGCTCAGCCCTGACGGGGGGCCAGCAGGGCGCGGCCTCCGGAGAAAACGCGGGCTCTCTCACTCGGTAAGTCTGCCCCTCAGCAAGTCGGCGCCACGTGGCGTTTCATGGCGGCGCACCCGACGCCACCTGGCGGAGGCCGCCAGCCTGGTCCCCACAGGGCAAGAGCGGGAAAATGGCCTGCGGGTGGGGGAGGGGCGGGAGCCGGGCGCCCCGCACCCCACGTCCCGCCGGGCAGAGAACCTGGACCCGTTCTCCGCAGCCTAGTTCGCGCCGGGGCGGGAGGTGGCGAGGGCGCGAAGGCCGCGGGCCTTGCACGTGGTCGCTCTGGGGCCCGTCCCAGCAGGCCCGCCGGGCCGCCCCCTTCCACCACCCTCCCGGCATCGTGCTCCTCCTCCTCCTCGTCTGCCCGGCTGTGCCTGGTAGGCCACACCCCGGCCGCCGACTCTCAGGCCGCGGCCGGACGTGGACCCAGGCAGGTGCCTCTCACAGGACAGCTGGGTGCCCCCACCTCCAGCTCCCCTCCGCGCCTCACCTTCCCCCCAAACTCCGAGTTTCGGCCATGCTGTTCTGCCCCTCAGGCCTCCTCCTCAACTCACCATGATGGCGGCAGCTAGCGGTTCCCGCAGACGGGGCTCGAGGGCAGAGGCTGCTCTTCTGGCACCACTTTTGGGGTGCTGGTTGGTCTGCTCGTGCCCGTTGCCCGGCCTCGACTGGGCAACCGGAGAAAAGAGAAGAAAAGTCTAAAGGTGGCAGCGAGGCTCAGGAGGCCTAAGCACTGCCCCGCGAGGCTGAGGGGCGCAGGCGGACTGAGGAGCTGCGCGTGGGACCCCGGAGCCTTCTGGGTACTGGGGCTCCTCCGAGACTACTTAGCCAATGGGTGACAGCACCGCCCCCTGTGGGGGGGACGCCTCGGGGGACGTCAGCCCCCTCCCCTGGCTATGGTGTGCGGGGGTGGGGGGTGTATAGAGGGGGTATGCGTGGGCCGGCAGTGGGCAGCTGGGGAGGGGCTTCCCTGAGACAAACAATCTGACCCCCAGATGCACCTGTTACCCCAAAAGTGCTTTAGGGGCATGCTTGAAATTAGTATGCATACTTAAATGTGTGTTAAAATTTAAAAAAGAAATTTTTATGTGTCTACGAGCTATTTCAAAATGGCGTCCGGAATGCAGAGGATTTGTCCCATCACGATTATCCCAAGCGCCGGGTACCAAATCGATTGAAGCGCCTACAAAAATAGAAAATAAAAATGAGTGTAAGCAGAACAGGGGACAGAACATCGAAAGAAACAAAGCATGGATGTCTTTCTGACAAATTCGAGGTAGATGGAATTGGATTGGAAGATATAGCCAGCTAGGTCAGGCCAGCTTGGTATTCGGGATGTTCATTCATTAAAGAAATATTTATTGAGTGCTTATGATTACCAGGTACTGCAGATGCAAGAATGAACAAAATGGGCAAATATCTTTTTTCTGCCAGGGAGTTTAAATTGTAATGGAGAGAATTGGTCTTCCAGGCCTTACAGAAAGAAGCAGATAGGCCTGCTTAGAGAATTCTAGAACATTCTCAAGGTCAGGGAAATAAATAGTACCTTGAGCGAGGGTGAGCTGTGAGGCGGTTCATGTAGCAAATGACACAACTTTGGAAACTATCCCGACAGCGGTTACCCGACCGCTATACCAATAGCAGGTAATTGGCCATGACTATTATCCTCTAAGTTCACTTTTGTGCAAGTGAAAAGCATGAAATGTTACTTTGTGAGATAGCAAAATGGTGGACTTTTGTAGCCTGAAAAACTATCACTACCAATACCTAGTATTACTGGATAAAATAAAAACTGACCTTAGTTTTGATACTCAGCTAAACCCATAAAAAATGAAGGGGAATCATAAGATGCTAGAAATTAAAATGAAAACCAGAGCAGTGACTTAACTGGATTTCCTCTGGCTCTGATATGAGTGTAGGGAGTGTAGGGTAACCAACTAGTTTGCCCTAGACTTTCCTGATTTTCCCACTGAAAAACTCCACCTCCGTGAAAACCAGGTCCCAAACAAACCAGGACAATTATTGGTCATCTTGTGCATGGGCAAGATGTTAGTCTCTGAAACTTGAGGCCTGGAAGTATAACAGCAGGTGGTAAGGGTTTGGAGTGGCCCAAGGTCGGGGCTGGAACTGAGTGCGTTACAAAAAGCCATTGTCTCTGAAAGACGACATCTTCT